ATACCGATGAGTGTAAGTTTCGACACGGCCTATCATATTTCATGCTTGGCTGAAGGAATTGAGCCGATTTGTGCTAGGGAATCCAAACGCTTTCATTCTCACCGCACGTCGCGTCTTCGCCGTTGCCGCCATCGGTTTCACTATTTCTCCTCCGCGTCTTCCTCTTCTTCTTCTTCTTCTTCTTCTTATTTTTTTCATTCTTATTGGATTCGGAACGTTGTAATACGGACTCGAAACGGCGTACTTGAAAAATGATGACCGACTGCACATTCTGCAATGCAGCCAAAACTTTTTATAGGCGCATTGCGTTATGACTTGCCTAATATAAAGCAACTAGTTATGCTATAGTATATAGTAATGCAGTTTTGATGAATTGTAATAACCCATATAAGCATGTTTTCCTTTTTAAGCAGGTTTTTGATTTTTTTGAACATCCAAAAAATGACATTTCAGATAAATTCTAATTTTGATTCAAAGAATATTCATCAGGTTATGCTATTTCTTGCAATCCTAAATTAATCTCTAAAAAAAAGTACTCGAATTTCAGCACACTATGATTTATGTGGAATTTTAACAATTGAACTTTAATTTGAGGTTGTGCTGGCTCATTGACTATTTACGGAACTATATAAATGAGTCAGTAGTTTTTTTTATACTGCAACTGGCTATTTATCAGCGCCTCGTAGCCTATAATTGCCTTCTTACCCAAGTCGGTCGGCGGTGCCCACTGAAACACAAGGCGACGTGCATATACATTTCTGCGGTTTCGGAAAACAAAATAATAGGCTGCAATTCAATTCGACACAGACAGACACTCCTAATTACAATCGTTTACTTACTTTCCCGTGTTTTTTTTGTTTCGCCGTTGTGCATTTCACATTTAATTCAATTCAATTCGTTTTTTTTCACTGTTTCTCAATATTCCGTTTTTATAATGGTACTATCCATGCAGATTTAGAGAAAAAAAACTAAAAAATATATAAAAACTTCAACATGCCATACAAATTGCAGAAAAACGACTTTTTGGTATTATTCAGTCTTTGAGTTTTTTTTTCCAAATTCGGAAAAGTGCCGTCCATCACCAATTTTCAGTCGGCATCCGAGGCGTTCCATTTTTGAAATTGGCGATGCGCGGTTGGGGAACGGGCCTCATGTGCAAATATATACACACAAATCGAAGAAAAGCGGTCGGTCTCGATTTAATGCGTTTCTGTCTTTCACCCTCCACCTCCTTTCATTTCTAATGGTTTTGCATTTAGAAAATGGTTTTTTTTCTTCTCGTTGGTTTCGTTCGTCCCCCCTCAGGGTCTGATTCTTCGGTGATTTGTTTATTTTTCCCAGCGAGCTCACCAACATCCCCCCCTTCCCATAGTCCAGCGATAAATTCATTACAGTGGCCTGCAACACCAATCACTCAATGATAAATGTATATCCATCACAGTTGTTTCTCTTATCCGGCGGTCTTCTTCAAAAAAAATTGTGTGCTTTCCAACGCTCTATGAGTGCAAATAGATGAATATTCGATAGGTCTAGACATTCACACATCTTCATGAAATTAAGCATATTTTAATTGATTTTCATAGCGTACAAATTTCGAACCCATTCATTTTTAAATATTTGCCTTTTGTCAAAAAAAAAATTATGGGTTTTCCATGGAGACCAATTATTATGTGTCTATCTTCAAAATTCATGGCTTTATTGAATTTAAGGAATTTTTTCATCGCAAAAAGCGCATCACACAACATGTTCGTTTCTATTTAATCAGCCACTACCGAGTTATCTTCTTTTGCTCGAGTGTTTCGTGTTATCATGATGCACACAAACCTATGCCCCAAAACGATTTTTTGCCCTTGACGATTAATATTTCAAAATTTTGGCGTAATACCAAGAAGAAAATTATTTCTTTTTAATTGTTTTAAATAAACAATATTTGTGTTTTGGGGAAAGTACTAAATGTGAACAAAATACAAAATTTAAATGCATCACATCAAACTTTCTTTGTCTCCATTGTTTTCTTTCGTTGTGCAGGAGAGGAAGTATTAGAAATATATATATAATTTCGATTGCCAGCTACCCAATTTTAGTTATCCACCAAAGTTTGATGTTTCGTTGATTCGCGAAACTCTTTCAACGTCAATTAATTCAGCGTGAATTTGACCGGCTTTTTTGGTATTCATTTGGTTTTCTTCCATTCTTCGCGCTTCTTTTCAAAAGCCCCCAGCAACTCCTAATTCGCGCTCATTACCCATTCAACGCCTGTGCAATTCGGATGGCGCCTCGGGGCGTCATCCGGAGCCTTCACAAAAAAAAACATTTATTTTTTGTTGTTTCTCTTCCGCTCAATTGCTCTTTGAAATCTTTTTTTTCTCGTGAGGTCTGCTGTTATTTTTTCGGCTCTCCGACTTCTAGTTGCTTCCTCGCGTCATTTTACATATCAATTATCCCCCTACCCTCCCACATCATGTCCGCCTTTCATATTCAGACACAAAACTAAGAACACAGCAGACCCTATTAATTAACACCACGGAGGATTCTGTTCAATTTCGTGTGCTTCCTCGAACCAGCACAAATAACAACAGCAATATGATGAAGTATGGAAGCGGAGTAGGAACGCGTTCTAGTGAAACACATGTCATACTGAAACGTGACCTTGTTTCGCTTCCTGTACATTCTTATTTCCTTCTAGCTTCAAATTTCATGTCATTTTTTGGTTTCCTACGGTAAAAAGAGCAAGGATTTTTTAGTCCAGTAAACACATCGTTAAGATTGCTCTGTACTAAATCCATTTATAATAGAAATTCGAAAAATTTTCGCATTGTGTCATTTTAACGGAAGAGCTTCGAATCTCCGTGAAAAGAGAACTCTTCAAGATTATTTTCTGTTTTTTTTTTTGAAAAAGTCAAAATGACAAATGAGCTTCCAATACTAGAGCTATCTTCACCTCCTCATTTCCTCATTCTATACCTCAAGTCATATTTCACGTTTTTTTTCAAAACAAAAAAAAGAACAGCACAGGAGCTTGTTGTCTCGTTCAATTGATCTCCCTCTTTACTATTTATTTATTGTAGAAATGAGTGAAAACGATCTAATTAGCTTCTTGGCGAGATTTTGCATTTTTATTTTGGCGGGTGGCGAATGCTGGCGAAAAAAAAACGAGATTTCCCTTTTTGACGCCACAACAGAAAATGTTTGTCAAACCGCCGTGGGCTTTGAATAATGCCGTCTTAACTCGTTTTTATCTACACTAACCTCACCCTTTTGTGTGCAATACAACCCGCGCGCCTTTCATGTCAATAGGTGAACTTATGAATACAACTTGTATGTGTATACCATTCAGGATGTCAGCACACTTCTCCTTCTCTTCGTCGTTTCCACTTGAAATTTGAAAGACAGGTTGATTCATTTACTAGCCAATTGTCAACGTTTTCATTGAAACAGGTGTTCGTTACATTTGTTTATCCAATGTCTCAACTGGATATTTCCTTGAAAACAACGATTGCTCTGTTTTTCTAAGCGAATAATAATAACAAAAAGACTGAAAAAAATTGAAGATGAGGAATTTTAATGTATTTCATTCATTTCATTTCTTCTTTAGTTATAAGTTGCTATTTTTCATAATTTCTGCCGAGTAAGGGACATTTAGAAAATTGTAACATTTTTGCGCCAAAATCCAAGAAACAAATTTCTGTTTTCACGCAAAATTCCTTGAAAAAATAAAGGTTCTTCACAACCTTGAATCTGATCGCATATTGTATAGTATAATGCCAATTTATACATTAATATCTTGGTCATTCGACGTTCGATGTTTGTCGAATGACACTTTACCATGTTTGCGCTGATTTCGAACCCAATCAAAATCTTTTCGTTCCTTTCAAAATCGTGCGTTTATTTTATTTTGTTTTCAATTTTCATAAAACAACACCCACCCTTCCCACCAAAAAAAAATTAATTTTTTTCTTTGAATGCTGTATTGCCAAAAAACCTTGAATTTGTCATTGAAAAATTGCATCTAATTTCCTGTCGCTGCATTCAACAATGCTCGTTTATCAATTGATGTATTTGGGAGGATAGTCAATGTACTTCGTGGGCAGGCATCCAAATTGAATATATAAATCAAACGGTGCAAAATTGCCTTCATTTTGAAAAGCTGCTTCAAGCATCCTCTTTCCGTTGTTTTTTTTTTCAATTCCTTTTTGCACACTTTGCCTAATACGGTCTTTTCTCAAATTGCTTTTCATTCTTTTTCGTCAAGAAAATTAGTTGATTTGTTCTTTTGTTTTAAATTTTATCGTTCGAAATCTTCTAGTAGAATCTTGCGATAATTTATTTTTGGACTAGGAAGCTGATTAACATGCAACAAAATTCTTTCCTTCTTGAACGTGTAATTATTCCAATTTAACTTTCTGCAAATTGCAGAACCCATTTTTAGTCATTTTTTTTACAAACATTTCATAAAAATATTGGTTTGCTTAATAGAAAATTCTAAATTTAATTAGAAGTTCTCGATGGAATCTTCTTACTTCAGTAAAATGAAAAAAATCGTGTAGTTTACTCCTAAAATATTTGCTCTGATTTTTTTCAATCCATTGTCGAGAAGCTTCTCTACAAATTCGATTCCCCAGACATTATACAACCTTTGATCATCCCCGTCATTACCAAACAGCGTGGGATATCTCCTCTCGATAATGTTGACCATCTACCGACGTAGATACATTAAATTCGTCCCTCAAAAAAAAAGTAGCCGCTCCACGTTTTTTTTGTGTCATCGGTGTTGCTTGTTTAATAAAGTGCTCAAATGTGATCCGCCGTTGCTGCTAGCCGATATCAGTGTACTTCAAAGACAACATGTATCTTATTGACATTTTTCAACTCGATCAAAGTGTCGTGTCCTGTGATTTTTTTTCGTTGCCGTCGATCGCCTGCAACACGTTATTTTTTTTATCCTCGTCGTGCTTCCGAGATTTGTTGCAAATTCTCACTTGATTTCAGATCTTGGCAATATGAAGGATCTTGACTCTGAAGAGTCAAACCTTCTATTCGAAAATCAGTTTGCTGTGCGAGAAATTATAGAGCAGTAAGTCAAATGTTCTATTTATTCAAATATTTATGTGTGTTTTCTTTTTTTGTAGGGGTCCATTCTCCAATATATACAGGACTATTCACAATGGGACAAGCAAGAAATTTATTCTTAGGTCGATTAGTGTACCGCTATACAAAAAGCATACTGGTCTAGGCGTTGAAGGTACTTGGGTAGTATTTTTCCATTTTATATAGCACATATTATTTTCAGATATTGAACGTGAAATTAACATATGCAAAAGCCTTCATCATCCTTACATATGCAAAATGGAAAAGGTTGTAACCAGCCAAAATTTCTGCCACCTGTTCTATGAAAATCTAGAGGGTAGTGATATTTGCTTTGAAATTGTTCAGCGCGCATGCAGCGGATTTGTGTACTCGGAATATGTCATTAGGTATTTCATGTGATATATAGTTAAACTAATTGAAACTTTTCAGCCATTATACTCGCCAGTTACTGGATGCCCTGGATTATATTCATAGTCGTAGGATTGTTCATAGAGACATCCGACCGCATAATATTGTGTTAGCAACGTAAGATGTTTCTGGAAAAATTCACCCCCCCCCTTCTCCAACATCTGTGAAATATACGCGAGAGTATTTAAATGGATTCTAACGACCACTAAAACAATTCTTGGCGAATAAATTGATGGCGTTGAATGAGGCGAGCTCGGCTTGGCGAAGTGTTCAAAGATTGAGAGCTAGAGTGCGCATTAAATAAATTTGGAATGAATAAATCTTCGAGAACCCAACTATTTGCAGGAGAGACACGTCGGCAGCTCTAAAGTTGTGTGGTTTCAGTGTGGCTCTGGATATATCAGATGGAGCCGCATTACCAGTGACAGGCAAGATGAAAATCTGACATTGCTGGAAATTGAAGCTTGACATGTTTAGGTAGAGTGGGAGTTCCACAATTCATGGCTCCAGAAGTTGTTCGCAAGGAACCTGTAACTTGCGCATCTGATATGTGGTCCACTGGAATTGTGCTTGTCTTGCTGCTTTCTGGAAGATTACCTTTCGCAGGCCCAACCATTGATATTTATAATCGTATTGCCCATGGAAGAATTGACGTATGTTTGCATACAGAATTCAAAACCATAAAAAGCTTCGTCTGAAAACACGTTTAATCAAAAAATTGCATAGAAAAATAATTAATAAAATATTGTCTGAGACTATAATTTTACTAAAATTTAAAAAAGGTAGATACAACATATTAGACATATATTCTTGGAAATTCTCTCCTAAAAATGGTTAGATTTTTTTAGCGTATATTCAAAAATAAATAAAGGTCAAAATACTTCTTTCGGACTTAAAATTGTAACATTTAGAATTTTTTCCGATTAAAAATTAATAAAACAGGTCGATTTTCGAACGGCCTCCAGAAAATAATTCAAGCGTACTTTTGCTCAAATTCATTCTTTCTACTGCTTATTTCAACACAGAATTTTTCAAAATCGAATTTTCTAGGCGCTTCCAAATGATCCGTTTATGCGAATTAGAGGGAAATTTGCTGAAGATTTATGATTTTCCATTTTCAACATTTTCACGCGTCTACCTTGTTGGACTTTACTCAATTAGAAATTAAAAAAAAAAGTGATGCTATATAGAAAAATCTTGCCATTTTTAAACATTCTCCACAAAGCAATTCAATATATGAGATTGAATTTGTAGTTTTTTTGCTGCCCGCCGAACTTGTTCACCCAAATGTAATCCTTCCAGATTGATTCGTACTTGTTGAGAATTTCGGAAAGTGCAAAAGATTTGGTTCGCCGATTGTTAGCAGTGAATCCAGAGCAGCGCATAACAGCAAAAGAGGTGAATTTTTTTCTTGTCTTGTCTTCTCTTTTTTTCGTGCCTAAGAATAAACACGCGCACACGTTTTTTTGTGCTTCTTGTTGGTTTTTCTTTTAATTTTTTTTACACTCAACACTGGGGGAGGGCAGTGGTGAAACGTCGAAATTCATGCATTTTTCTTCTGGCACATTTGGCAATTTTTTGCACTTTCAACTATTCATAATTAGCATTTTACGTCCACTGAGAATTTGCTTTCTGTTCAGCTATTTTATGATTCTCGGTTTCAGGCGTTGTGCCACGAATGGATACGTGATAAGGAGCACATGGCGAGCCGGAAACATATGAGTGATGTTATTGAGCAAATGCGGAGATACAATGACTCGCGAAAATTGAAGGTTTATTTTAGTAGTACGTATTAAAGGTTTACTTAAACGGAACAATTAAGAGCAACGTGCTCTCAGCGATTAATAGCCGGAAGTTTGATGAGCTCAACCTAGCACAGAATCATTCTGCATTCGTCGACGGATCCTCACCAGGTAATCGTTCCCATCAAATCTAAAATTCGCAATAAAATTATTTGAAATTATACTAATACGATTTTCAGTACTATAAATACATATTGGTATGTTTCCAATATGATTATATAATAAAGTTTTATATTTCTTGAAAAAATGTTTATTTTTCGTAGCCTCATGAATAAACACATTCGACAGCAAAAAAAACAGACTGTATCTTTAATCTTTCTTTTAATGATATTTTATTCAGGTGGTGATTGTTGCCAGCGCGGTGAATCAGCGGCGGCGGAAAATTTCGAGAAACCATTTCGCAAGGATTTAACTGGCGCTTATCAGGTACGATCTTTAGTTTTTTGTCAGTTAACGTCAATTACAAAACAAATACGTGTCTGAGAGGCCCTCGAAGCTCAACAAATTGATTCAATCGTGTCGCATGAAGTGTGAATTTTAACAATTCGTACACTAGCAAAACACGCATATCTTTCACATAGTGTAATGCTCGATTAATCGAGAAGAAAATCATTTAAAATGACTCAAAAGATCATAGATCTAAATTTTTGAATCAGTGTTATAAGAAGTCTAACCATATGTAAAACGCATAATTGAATTTAGATCTTCCTGGCAAAAAAAAACTGAACATCCTTTTCACCTCACATAACCCCCAAATTGTTCAGATTCTAACATCCTTAGACGCAATAAACTGCCTGCTCGACCCGAATTCCTACAAGCCAGATGGATCGGCATTTCAACGCATATTTAATGATGGAAATGTTTGCACTCTTCTGAGGGTAAGCCATCAAAATTTCTATACCTTCTTTAACACGTGTTCACCACCACCATCATTGCTTCGTATCAAATAAAAAAAGGAATGAGATGAAGGCGAATTGGTCGGAAGCTACGAAATTTGAATCCTTTAGAAAAATGTCTTATACACATATATATATGAAATGTATACCAGCTTTAATTGTTTGAACAAGGATTTGGTTTCGTTAAAATGTCGGCATAAAAGGTTCGACAGTTTTTCTGTTCTTTTTTTATGTTTAAAGAGCCTAAAAACTACGATAGACTTGACGACTAAAAACCCTTTTTTTTTCATTTGGAATGAGGCCACGCCCCTGTGGGTTCTGGAAGAGATGGCAATAAATTCGGAATTCATCTTTGTATTAATTTTCACTTTCCCACATCTGCATTATTTCATCGGTTATATCATGCCATATACTCCCCCCCCCGCGCTAAAAGCTTTTCGTTTTTTTTTCCGGAACCATATGCACATATATTTAGCTGGTTATATTCAGTATAGAGCACTTGATAATTCATTAAAGGAAACGGCGCATTTAATTTGGGCAAACGGCTTAAGTTGTGTTCGCGAGATCTTGCTCTTCATCCACGGACCTCGCCGACCACTTTGCGCCACAACTATACCGATTTAATTACGCAAACCGCTCTCTATTGCGACTTGAATAGCCTTCTAATGGACATCCTTTCCGCGTCGGACCAATAATTTCATTTTCACAACGCTCTATGCCGCCCCCCCCTCCCTCTTGTGCTCTTCAGCTTCTGCCACGTTCGTTGCTCCATTCCACTTTCTGAATTCCATCAAATCATAGCACAAAGTGCAAAAACACTCAGGCAAGCAACAATTTGATTGATCGCGTCGTTTTCGATTCAAATGTCATCGAGACGACGAGATGATCGCAGAGAGAAGGTGAGTGTGGTTAAACGCCTTGCGTTCAAGAGATTAGGGTGAATTTGGTGAATGTAGTGATTGGTGCGCCAAGTAAGCCATGCGACTCGAAATTACTAAAAAAAAACTTTGATTCCCGAAGACAAGAAAAAACAAAGAATATGAACAAGACGGAGGAAAAACAACGATGCGAGATGAAGAAGAAAAAGAAACGATGAAGAAAACCGGGTGCCCAGCCCCCCTTTGCCTTTTCTCTCGTCGTGCTTTCTTTTGCTCATCCACTCGACTCTTGGACGAGTAAGGTGAAGCAACAACTTGTTGCCATCCACTGCTCCACATATTTTTGCGCAGTATCTTTTTCGCTTATCCCGACTACTACTACTACTTTTACTTCTACAACGACGTGCTGTCATTTTGTGACGTCTGCTGTTTGAGCCCGTTCCGTCGAGCTGAGCAACACGTCGGGCAGAAGCGACGACGAGCGAAAACGGAAGACCTCATTAGGCGTGCTGACTTCTTCCTTTCTTGTGGTTCATTTTCTCTCGACAACAGGCAACATTTTTTTTGCGGGGGTTCCCCCCGTGTCAGTTGATGCATGGATTCGACGCTATTCCACAACTCGCTGCTCGCTATTCTTATCGGCTCGTTTCTGATATTCTTCGTTTGCGTGCTGGTAATTGGCGCGCTCTCTGACCGCGGACTGTGCTGCCAGGACGAGTCGTTCGTTCCAACTTCGACGTTGCTGCTGCACCGCTACATTGCCGCGAATGGATACAATGTCGATGCCAACGGCAACGGCGAACTCGTCCGATGCGAATGCGATTGCGAGCATTCCGCAATCACCGAAGAGCCAAGTAGCGAATACTATACCGAGCAACTTAATACGTGTAAAACATAAAGCATGACTCAATTTATGCAATAATATTAATTAAAACTGTGACAAGCAATGCAAATCAAAATCATTTCGAGACGTTTTTGTGTAATAATTTGTTTCATATTTCAGCTGTATGACAAGATTTGCGCTCTTCCATATGAACCAATTCACACAGACACCGAAACATCCCTTCTTCGAAAAGAGGTACGTTCTCTCATTCTCCCACCAAATAAAGTTGGTATCAAAAGTGGTGAAAAGCAGCACCGAATTCCCCAAAGACCCATCACTTGTCTTTCTTTCCACGAACATTTAAGAATAACGCAATAAACGTGATGAAAATTTGACGTATCTTCTTTTTGAGTCTTGCCGCGAGAAAAGACTTTTGATAAAAAAAAACAATTGAAACCATTTTTTCTCCTTTTTCTGCTGTTTGTTTTTCTAACCAAATTGATAAATCGTAGAGTTGACGTGCAAAATGGGTTCGATGCCTTTTGGGAATACAATCATTTTTGACATCGCACCCTTCAAAAGATGAAATGTTTTGCTAAAGGGACATTGTATACATTGCAGACTATTTCATCGATTGATAGCCTACTTGGACCGAGCCCGGAAGCCTTGGAGCTCCGCCAGCTTCTTAGTGCACCACATTTAACGGTGAGCGATTATGACACTTCAAATTGTTTCCTTTTGCTCTCCCATGCGCAGTGTTCCACCCTTTTGAAGAAACCATTAATGCATTGCTAATCCTAACCGCTGAGACAAACAATGTTTCTTCTATTGGTCAAACTATAAAGAATCACGCACGCGGTGAACTCTTGAGTCATCAACGATGTCATTTATCTCTCATCTTATCGATTTTCGCAGCGATGCCCGACTTTTTGTTGCGTCTCACGAAAAAAAAAGTCCGAGATTTGTTCTAATTTCTCGTGTGCCGCTGTCACGCCATGATAAATCATTGTCGCGTTCTGATTGTTAAAACGTCGCCGCCGTTTCAATACATTCACTGCGAGCAATTTTACGCTCCGAGAAAAAAAGCGTGAGAGATGGAGAATTAATTGAAATGAAATAGTATAGATGAACTGAGAAGTGAGACAATATTCTTTCAGAATATTAAATAATGAAATGAAAAACCTTAATAGTTCAAATGACTTAACATGACTCCTTAAATGGCATTTATTCCCAATCACCAGAAAAAAATCTTTTTCTCAAAATAATACTCAAAATGCCTAGAGGCGTGTTTTTGAAGGCAAACCTTGTTGTTATTCAATTTTTTCTAAAAATGCATGGTCTTCGGAATCCAAAAAAAACAATTTAATTATTTTTAAGCCCAATCTAATTTTGATCAAACAGTTTATGTATACAAGAGCTCATATCATTTCTTTCCGAGCATTATTATTATTATTATTATTATTATTATCATGTGCCAATATCAGGGATGCGTTCAAGCATTGGATGTTGTCGTCTGCGAAATTAGAGACATGCCACGAAACGAGGGAACATCTTCTGCTGACAAGGATACGAATGTAATAAAAATCACAATTGGGTGTTTTGATCGTCTATACAATGTTTTCAGTGCAATTCGAGCGAATCAATACCGCCATACTTAAATGGCGGCGTTTTGCCATTAGGCTCCCAACGGGCCGGCACTTCGTTCGAGCATTTCAATCATTCAACTGCACACACTTCTTGTCAGTTGTTGATTGTTTTAATTCGAAATATGCATTCCTTTTTCAGACGAGGAGGAAGACGAGGATTTGTACGATTGTATGTCTCGTCTGCGACTTGTTCAATTCCAGAAAGACACACAGGAGCCGATGGGAATTACTCTACGGGTATGTTCGTTTTTTCCACATTTTTGCACGTAACAGCTGCTATTGGTTTCGGATTGCAGGTTAATGAAGATGGACGATGCTTCGTTGCGAGAATCATGCACGGTGGAATGATTCATCGACAAGGTACAGCCGTTCAACGCGATCAAATTTCAAGTAAAACGTTTTTCAGCTACCCTTCATGTTGGTGATGAGATCCGAGAGATCAATGGGATGAGCGTTACTAATCGTAGTGTGGAATCACTTCAGGAAATGTTGAGAGATGCAAGAGGACAGGTATTGCGATATATTTCGAAACACGTTGATTAATTCCCGATCAGGTTACATTCAAAATTATTCCTTCTTATCGCTCGGCCCCGCCGGCATGTGAAATTTTTGTGAGAGCTCAATTTGACTATGAGCCCGCTCAAGATGATTTAATTCCATGCCCTCAAGCAGGAGTTCCATTCAAGACTGGAGACATTTTACAGGTTTCCTCGATTGGCCTGAAATTGAAAATGATATAAAAGTTTTTTTTTGTTCAGGTAATTTCCAAGGATGACCATAATTGGTGGCAAGCTCGATTTGTCTCATCTTTTCCATCAATTGGACCAGTACATACGCAAAGAAGTGGACAGCAGCAAGTCGCCGGTCTCATTCCGTCGCCGGAGCTTCAAGAATGGCGCACAGCTTGCTTGGCAATGGAGCGAGCTAAAAATACATGTAAGCTTCGATTTAGCATCTGTGAACTTATGAAAATATTTTTAGCCCATTGCATGTGGTTCAATAAAAAGAAAAAGTATTACACCACGAAATATCTTCAAAAACACTCTGCGCTTTTTGATCAACTCGACTTGGTCACTTATGAGGAGGTGGGTCACATCAACCGGGGCATTCAAATAAACCGAAATCATGCAGGTTATGAGGCTTTCACAATATCGCAGGAAAACATTGGTGCTTCTTGGTGCTCATGGTGTGGGCAGACGGCACATCAAAAACACATTGATTCATAGGCATCCAAACCGATTTGCGTACCCAATACCACGTAAAAGCCATTGTTAGTGAAGTGAGCAATACTTGCAAATTTTAGACACCACGAGACCGCCACGCAAAGATGAAATTGATGGAAAGCATTACTATTTTGTTTCACACGATCAGATGATGGCGGATATTCAGAACAACGAGTACTTGGAATATGGAACACATGAAGAAAGTAGTGAATATCAATCGATTTCAATGAATATTGAATCGATTTTCAGGCATGTATGGCACAAAGCTGGAGACCATCCGAAATATTCATAAAGCGGGAAAAATCGCGATACTTGATGTCGAACCGCAAGCGTTAAAAGTGCTACCATAATCGAATTGCACTCATATGAAATTGAATTTTGCAGGTTTTGAGAACCGCTGAATACTCGCCATTTGTCGTATTCATTGCAGCGCCAAATCTACAGGGAATGCAAGATGTAATCAAATTTTTCATTCTCAAAATTCCTCCAACATTCCCAATTTTTCAGCCGGATGGATCATTAGAAAAACTCCTCAATGAATCTGATGTGTTGAGACAAGCATTCGGCCATCTGTTTGACTATATCATTACAAATAGCGACATCGATGACACCATCACACAATTGGAAAGGCTTGTGGAGAAGCTGCCGGCGTATCCGCAATGGTTGCCAGTTTCTTGGGTCTACTGAATGATGATGATCTCTCCATGGTCGATGCAACATTTCTATTAATTTTTTATTTGTCATTGACTAGTACCGGTGCAATCATTACAAGATTATAGAAAAAGCAGCGCTATTAAGTTACACTTCAGTTCACCAAGTCGCCCGAGCTAATGTTTTAGTGTGTAACGGATCTCCCTAGAATGATTCAGTTTGCGAGCACATGGAATTATTTAAAATATCCATTTAGGAAATTATATAGCCAAGAATTAACGTGACAATTTTTTGATGAAACAATATAATACAAGATTAAAGCAGCACCAACAATTTATAGCCGAATTGTACGGTAAAATTTTTTAATCTATGCTCATCACGTTCCATATTTTCTTGTGATATTAATTAATAAAGTTTATTGTGTTGGCGATTACAGTAGAAAAAAAAACAGAAACCAATCAAACTGTGATCACAATCGGCGGCATAAAAGAAGTTAAAAAAATAAAAATTGAAACATATTGTGACAATGCCCGTGATTCAGTTAGACAATGAAAAACACTCATACCCCTCATTGCAAAAACGGCGAAGGAATAATAAGACTTTGAAAATAGTTGAAAGAATGACACGAAATACTATAAATTAAATATAATTAAAAAAACACTAAACGCAATGGGTGGGCAAGAGATTTGAAAACAACGGATGCAATTAAATTAAATTAAATTATGAAATGAAACAACTAGCGAGCTTCTCAAAACGGTGAGAAGCATGGCACAAAATTGTTGATAGAAAAGGAGGAGGCGAATAAGTTTAAGACATATTAGCACCCAGCTTCTTTCGAACTTTTTCGTAGACCACATACGAGATGCTGACCGCAGGAATCACCTGAAGGTGGCGATGAAAAAATGGGTCATATTTTGTATGTTTTACCTTCATGAAGTTTGGGGTAATGCCGCGATAAAGGCCTGTGAATCCCTCGTTTTTGAGAATATAGCTGAATTGGCCGATCATGGTATCCGGTTGGTTCGAATTTGGAGCAATAGCTGGAATAAAATTGTAGTTGAAGTTTATATTCGTTTTAGAATCTATAGCCAAATAATATAATTCAATAATAAGAAATTATAGTATTCGATAGAACGAGTATTAATTTTTTTTCACTGAACAAGCTATCAACTGATGTTTTGTAAACTTTGCAAATAAGAGTCTTATTTAAACATTCGTATCATTTGAGCAGCGAAAAAAGTTATAAAACAAAATATTAATCGATATATGTATTTAGCATTTTCAATCAATCGTTAAATTCTTATTTTTGTTTACATTTAAATCAATTTAATGCTGGAAATAATGTGAGAATTCCCTTTCAATTATTTTCGCATACCAAAATAATGCGTTTTTTCATTTTTCTGGAAGCATTGTCGGCTTCACGTATATCAAAATTTTTCTCGAAATTTGGACAATGTATGATCCGATTAACTTAATTGTATCATATTTTAATCATGTTTTTTATGTTTGAGCAATACGAAAGAGTACGATCTCCAGAAAAAACCTCATTTCAATTTCCCCATAGGAATCCCATTTTTCCATTGAAATTACCTCTCGCTTGGAGTCGAGTACGCACTAACGCCAATGGGTAACTTGCTAATTGTCCGCAGGTGGAACTGCATGTACCACAAGCAAGAAGCGCCATCACACCAGGCTCCTTGACGTCCGTATAATATTTGACGTAGAAAGATTTCAGTGTTTCATAGACGGTCAAATCGATTCCAGCGTATGGAATAATACCAAGAAGATTTGGAACATAACCCTAGAAAATTTATATTGAAAAAAAGTAATGATGTGGCTTCCGCTTAACCAACCTTATAGAAACACTTGATTCCCTCTTTAGTGTACATTTTATGAGCAAAATGGAACATTCCTTTATCTAGTTGACCCGTTCTTCGCAATGCCAATCTGGTTTTCATGACTTCCATAGGATAAATTGCAGACTGAGAGATCGCACCGGCTGTCGATCCAGCAAAAAGACGCTCAATTGTTGTTAGCTCCGAATTTCCTTTGTATTCTTGAATCCATCGTTTCACCTGTCAAATATTTTTGTTTTACACAGATATCAACCATGATGTTTGAAATTTTGCCCCGTCAATTGACTAATGTTTCTCAAATTACCTGGTCATAACTCATGAATTTGATAGCCGATTCTGGAGCAATTTTGATAACATTGATTCCATTGCCTCTCCAAAACGATTTGAGGCCACCTTCGGCATGAAGAAGGCGCACACAATTTGTGACGCCAAGTTTGTTGGATTTCGTGGAATGCACTTGAAGGTACACTTTAATACGATCAAATGGAGCCGTGCATGTCCGCGACATTGCACCAGCAACACCGCCAGCAACCAAGTGACGCCACCAAATACCCGATTGCATTTCTTGTGGAGTAAAGTCTTCCGGAACTTGGCTGTCTTCTCCAATATCGATGATCTGCATAGCATTAACATGACAAAAAATTGTGATTAGCTTGATTCGAACCAGATTATGCCTCCAGAAGTCCACCATTTCGCGCATATCTGATGATGGATAGAGAAGCATGAAAGATTGGAACTCGTCGAGATCAATGCTTGATGATCCACTTTGATCCATTCTGAAATAAAATAAAACATCCCTTATATTATTCAATCGTTGTGTTCAATAGTTTTTCGTTCATTGCATACATTGATTGTTTGGATATATGATTTACCATCTTTAGAATCTCATCTAGTAGTAAGCCATACATCTCTCATGTGTCATCAATTCCCATAAAAACCAACGTCCCATTTTTCACATGTGATAACACATTATCACGTGAAATTCAATAATTTTAGACAATTGTCGAAGAGACGAGATAAGAACGAAAAAGTATTTTGGAAATTCAATGATCGGATAAGTGAATTTTCTTGTCAAATTGAAATTGTGAAAAATGGAAATAACTTACTGTTTAACAATACTCATCGCTTTGTTGTCATCGAGATGAACTCCCATATCCTTACAGTAGCTTTTCATCTCTTTCACGTCAACATAACCTATTGAAATATACAGAAAAATTAATTTCATGATTCATTAGATAGTGCGAACCATCGTTGTTGCTGTCGATTTTCGAAAAAATGTCCGCCAATCGCGCTTCATGAGTCAAAACATAATTGGTAAAATCGTGAATTGTGATTTTATCCGTTTCATCCGATTTCATAAGAGCAAACAATTTCTGATAATGGAAAAGGATTAGAGAAATCTCGGATAAACTTGGATACCGGCGCAAGCTTTTCGGGAATATGCGGGGTTTCAAGCTTTAGCGCTTGCGTCAAATCACGAATATCGATTGTGCCGTCATTATCGCGATCAAGACGATCGTAGAGTTGACGGATTCTGAAAAAAAGTAATCAATATAAATAAAAAAAAGTTCGCCATATGTTCTACTTTTCTCTTTTCTCGGGAGTGACGTCGACGTGCAACGATGTATGCGTCTTGATGGCAGCTTCTTTCGAAATTGAACTCTGAAATTATAAAATTAACTACATCATGACATAATTAAAATGCATTTTAAAATCATTTCCCGCACAAATTTTTTTTCAAGAAACACCACCATTTATGACTCTACGTTAAAATTCCTTGGAAGGGTAGATGGAAAGCAATATCAAGGTTTTACCTGTCCTTCCATAATGCTACAAAGCAGCATTCAGTTTACCTACGAGTTACTGTTTACATTACATCTGCCCAAAAAATAGCTCTGTTTTTGTTTTCGAAAAAATAGTGCAAATTATTAGTCATACCTATACCAACCAAGAAATGTATTCCATTTGCCAAATATTTATTCATTTATGATTGCTTCTGTTTAAAAATTGTGGAAAAAAATGCATACTTGGATAAGCGGCTGGTGTTTCGATTGTTTAAAGGGCACCACATTTTTTGCCTGCTCCCCAATATTCTTAAGATTGAGAAGTTCGACTAAATAAGAAAAAATTAGATCTATTATTTAACTCAAACGATTACCTTCGTTTTTTATTGATTTACTTCTTATTGATGAATTATCTACAACTGTGCTCATTGCAGGAAACGCCTATTAATCAATTGAGCATTCAACAGCCGGGAATTGAAGCATCGATGTGACAATCTACGCTTTCTGTAAAAATGTTAATTTTACCAAATTTTTAAAAGAGAACATAACAAATGTAATCAATAAAATGCGGAATTGCAACACATGTGTGCTCAAAAAATCGATAAATTTCGAAAAATTAACTTGAAATGTATATTTCCACAATCGTTCAACATTTTTTTTTTCAAACAATATCCAAACAAAATTTAAGACACAACCAAATAGAATTGAAAAAATAAAACAGGTTTGACGTCTTGAAATTATTGGCCAATATAGGGCGACACTGGCGTTTATTCATCGCATATGTTATACAGCCGGGGCAAACATGACTAATTTAGTGCGACATGTGCGCTCCATTGGACTGCGTTGTTATTTTCCATTAATTTATCGCGAACTGTTCATTCGTTACTCCGTATCGTTGTCTGGTCATGGCCCGCGAACCGGAGACATGGGACAAATTGCGCAGAATTATGATGAACGGAGCAAAAATGACCAAGGAACATGGCTTCAGGAAAGTTATCGCCGAGTTGGAATCTCTTAAATCGGACTTGTTGTAAGCATTCAGCATTATTTAGTGTGCCTACAGATAGGAATTTCTTGCAGACTTGATAATGAATACGAGCAATTAGCCCAGTGCTACATTCTTATTTCGGGATACTATGAAAAAATTGGCAACGAGGTTAAACAGTGTGAATCAATGATTTCTGGAATGCGAGCATTTTCCACCGCCGTGGACAACCTGCAGTCGACTAGTAAAAGTCATTGTAAGATTTCAACCTAGATTAAGGATGGCTTCTTCAAAAAAAAATGTTTTTTTAGTGGAACTCTATCAGGTCACCGACGTTTGCTCGTTTTATCGGAAGTCGATAGCATTCCTGAAAAAATTAAAGAAGCCCCACATGGCTGGATTTCTTGCTCTCGAATTCGCCCAAAAATTGCGAGGGCAAGATGATGAAGCTGTTGTTTCAGTTCTCACCGATGGTTGGTCACTTTTTTTTCAAAAAGAGAAACTGGAGAAATGAAAATTCGATTCAAAATTATGCACTTTGCCTTATCAAAAATCTAAGATTGAAGCTAAAAATTGTGATTTTTTTTCACTTTACTATGCAGATATTTGAAGCAAAAACTCTCAAGCCTTGATATTAACTTTTATTGCTCTTAGATTATTGAAATTAAAAAACCTGTGCTTTAAAGTAGGCTTAAATTGAAATGACCCGCTTTTAACAGAAGATTCAAATTTTCAGTGACTTCCTTGCTCGCTGACGACTTGGCCGGGTATTGTGAATGTTTGGAAAGGCTAATCGAGGCAAATGTTAATCTTGGATACTGGCTTGAAGTAATTTGAGCAGTTAATTTGGGCAATTATTAATCAATCAATTTTAGGCTCTACAATGGACCGATTTGCTATGGATGAAACTTATGAAAGAACAAAATGAAGGAAAGGAGCTGTCAAAGCAACTGAAAGATGTGGAAATAATCACAATGCTGATATTATTCAAGAATGATGTATAATATAGAAAAAAATAAGAAATGTGCACTAATCTAGTGAAGTTTAGGTTGAGAAGAGTGGTCGTCATCGATTATTGGCGGAATTGTATGGTTGGAAAAACGAGACGATTGATAAAGTAAAAATTGAATATGCTGAAAATTAATAGAGAATCGATTATTTCAGAATCGCATCAAGTCGCTGCACGCTGATTTGTCGTGTCTGACAATGGCCGAATTTCTGATTTTCCGAAAGTTTCTGGGATTTTTGATTGCCGAAGAATACGAACAGGTAATTGTGATTTCATCTTCTTCCTCGTTTTTAATAGCGGTATGTCAATCTGCGTTTATAAAAAAATAAAATTAGATTACTTCCGTTATCGTAATAGTGAGTCCAAGACTGTCGAAACAAGTTCGGGTTTGATCCAATTCAATGAAACGGCATTTTCGTGCGGCTTTTTTATATTTCGAAATGATAATGATAAGATATGGTTGAGTGTATGGGCGAACATTAATGATAGCAGACGAGGCAATGGAAAACGTATTCAGGCTGAATCGATGTTGTTCGAGGTTGGTGATGATGATGATGATGATGCAGAGACACGAGACGATGCGGGTGCGCAGCCGACCACTCCGCCAAATTGTTCGTCGAATCGATTGCGATTATCTGATATTTTTTCAGTACTTCCACTTCATGTTTTTCATGCAGTATTCAGTTCATGTATGAACTGATTCGTAGGGTTGACCCCAAATCTCTTAACTTGTGAATAGTTTCATGTTTTGATGTAAAAGGGGGTTTCTGTCATTTTACATATTTTTTGTTATTTTTTTAAATATGAAACATAGACAAAACATTTAATGAAACTCTTTATATGATTGGTGAAAAATTAATAAAATAAATAAAATAAAATCCGTGAGATCAGATAGTAAATAATGACAGAATCTCTCTTCTCAAAAACAGTCCTTCTGATATTCATTGTCGCCTTATATTTTTAATTGAGAGAAGATAAAAAAACGCTGGCGTAATGTTGTCAATAGGACTGCCTTTTTTTTAATTGATTCTATTGCAACATTTTTCGTGAATTTTGAGAATGACTCATCGAAAAAGATTGCAGGGTTCAATCAAATAGTTTGTAAATATTTTTTTATTCAGAGTTAATGCGGAAGAAGAAAAAACGCTTTATTGTTTTTCTTTTTCTGTATTTACTTATTATATGATTCATATCTTTTTTGTTGGTTGTCCAATTTTGTGAAAAATAACGGAATTGGAAGAAACCGATCATTTCCATGTTAAATAAGTGTTGAAATAAAAGTTTATTCACCTTTTAATTTTCGTATTCATTGCTAAACGATTTGAATCATAAGTTTTCAGGTAATGACTAAGGAATTTGAGCGGCTTTACGGTATGTTTCTGAATTCAAAAAAGAATTGTGCAATCATTCTTCAAACCTTCTTAATCGTCTCGTTCACATGTTCTTCGTATTTAATCTTTTCCTTTTCCCTAGTCTACATCTGAAACTTGTATTGCCTTGTAATTTTATGCTTCTATCTGAAAAAGACAAAGTGTAAGAGTGAAAAGAAAAAAGCTAGAGTTCCCTTGGAAACAGCGAAAGCGGAAAATTGCTACATGCCTATGCGCTCGCAGAAAAGAGCAGTTTGTGAGGCAAAATTGTGCCTCCTGTGATCAGTTTTTCTTTCCACAGCGTATTCTTTCTATACACTCATTTATTTCTCCAGATATGGATCGTCTAGCAACCAACTGCAACTTTGATGATCCACCGGGGGAGAAGCTCAGCCTTGAGCTGTTTATGATCAACAAGCGAATCGGAAAGGGACAGTTTAGCGAGGTTTTCGGAGCGCAATGCAAATGGAACTGCATGCATGTGGCATTGAAAAAAATCCAGGTTCGCGATTTCCTATTTCCGAAAACTGGAAGTTTTGGAGCGAATTAATCTTTAGGTTTTTGAAATGGTTGACCAAAAAGCACGTCAAGATTGCCTCAAGGAAATCGATTTGTTGAAGCAATTGAATCATGTTAACATAATTCGATATTACGCGAGTTTTATTGATAAAAATCAATTAAATATTGTGTTGGAATTGGCGGAAGCAGGAGATATGAGCAAAATGATACGAGTTTGAGCATTCCAACCAATTAAAAACTACAATATCTTTGAATTCAGCACTTCAAGAAGGGAGGACGATTGATTCCCGAGAAGACCATTTGGAAGTACTTTGTTCAGCTAGCTCGAGCACTCTATCATATGCATTCAAAGAGAATAATGCACCGAGGTGAAGAGCACTGAGATAATCTGAAAATTTATAAAACAGCTTCAAGACATCAAACCCGCCAATGTTTTCATCACTTCGACTGGAATCGTGAAGCTCGGAGATTTGGGATTGGGCCGATTTTTCTCATCAAAGACGACTGCTGCTCACTCTCTTGTGGGAACGCCGTATTACATGGTTGGATTTGATGGAATACTTATTAAAAGTTGCACGCAACCTTATTTCCGTCATTTCGTGGGAATGCGCATTTATTGAACTTTTTTTGGCGATGTAGATTTCTTCCTGGTACATAGTTTAGCTATGGTTCAATGAATTTCGTCAGATTCTCGATCCGTTTAATGAAAACTCAATGAATCATAAGGGTTATTGATAATATGATATATTATAAACGCTTCAAAGAAGCCCTGAAACCGTATAAATTGATGACTAACTGAAAAATATTAATCATATTCTAATTTCCGTTGACACTTCCCAATTAAAAAATAAATATTTCTAGAGCCCGGAACGAATCCACGAAAGCGGATACAATTTCAAATCGGACTTGTGGTCAACCGGATGCCTTCTTTATGAGATGGCCGCTCTACAGAGTCCATTCTACGGCGATAAAATGAATCTATACTCGCTTTGCAAAAAAATCGAAAATTGCGAGTATCCGCCGCTTCCGGCTGATATTTATTCCGAGCAGGTTTCCTTTGGCGCCTATCGGAATATAATATATTTTTTTTGCGTTTCAGCTGCGCAGCCTTGTTTCTCAATGCATTCTTCCCGACCCCGCTAAACGGCCGGAGACTAGTGAAGTGCTTGAGGTGTTTAATAATTCCTTCTCGAACATTTGACTCATCCATTTTACTTTTCAGGTCGCTGAGCACATGAATACATATTTCCAAAAAGGGAAACAATCATAAAATGATGAGTTCGATATTATTCATATTTTTCCCACAGTCAAAAAAACGCCAAAGATTAAGTTCAAAATAAACTGTGGTTCAAAGATAAATTTTTATCTGATTTGAATAAGGAAAAGAAACGAAAACCTTTAATGTTTGATGTGTGTTATGTTCGAATAAAATGGAACAAAAAAAAGAGAAGTGCAAAATGCTCTTTTTGGTCACCTGACTGACTTGCAAAAAAAAGAAACTTGTCGTTCCCTTTGACAACTCATTTATTTGCCAAAAAAAGACTTTGCACAGCAAATTTTCCTCTACAATTGAACATACATCAACAATGCTCTACAGTAATCCAATTCCTTTCAGCTTTTTTTTCGCAATTTGCTTTGTTCGTTGTAACCAAGAGTAATTAGATAAGCCGCTATATTAAAAACTATGTGGTTGTAACCTGAATAATAATAACAGACAGACTAGCATCATGCACATATTTTAGACATTCTCATTCAGATATGCGGTATTAAGAATACAGAATTCAATGTTACGCAAATGCTTGCCAACTTTCAACATAATGAGATAATTTATCACAAGAGCAAAAGAAATTCTTACTTTTTTTTCAAGACTACCCATTATTTATCTTTATTATGACTTTATTAAAATGCATTTTCTTGTAATCGTATATTATTAAATACGGCTCTCGAAAAATATAGATGTTTCGCCTATTGCTTTTGATCACAAATTTCTCAACAAAACTTATGTCATCAATCAGAAATCGTCGTTTTCAAAACTCGTAGGTTGATACCATGTTTCCTTTTGCTTCCTTCAATCTATACTACTAATGAAACGAATTAAGCCATATCGAAATTTTTGTTTCTAGTGTTAATTTCTTTTGATGTTTGGTTCATTAGAAATGTTAACCCTTTAACGAAAAATGAGGATCCAATTCTATTTGCAGGGCGTTTTTATTCTCAAAAATTTTCTCTAAAACCAAATTCCAATATTACATTTGGAAAGCTTATGTGATTCCTAAGCCTATTGTATAGCGTAGTAGTCTAATAATATTAATATTAATAATCGCAAATGAAATAATCGTCACAAATATAAAAAAAAAACATGTTGGTAGGATTCCCCCGCTTTTGGCATTTTATTTATTTATCGCTATTATTTTCTTTTCAATACTAAATATTGAATGAATGAGGGCAGTGTGATGAGAAAAATGAAAGTTTTCTTAGAATAGGCTTTCACGCTAATGTAGAAAAATATTTAGCATTAAATCCCATACGAGCTAATAGATGTCAAATCCTGATGCTCACACATCGAGTCACATTAGAATTTGTTTGACCATTAAGTTGGTCATTTATTTATGTGATCAGAAAGAACAAACATTTTCACCAGTATTTCGTATTTTTAAACCCCATAGAAATTGAACAAATCCATGAAACATTTTAAAGCATCAAACTCCAACTACTCAGAAAGCAGCAATTAAAACGCAACTTTAAAAAAAGAAGGTCGTTTCAAGCTTTTTGTTCTAACCCAATCATTGACGTAAGCAGCCCACGTTCAACTATCAGAGCTACGTGATGAAATAGCGGCTGACCTGTCTATCTATCCCATAAATTGTTTGCTTTGACACTTAAACCAAGTACCATTATCTTAGGTCATTTTTAGAGAAACGAACAAAAAACTGAACGGGATGATTTTAGTTCTCTCAAAAGTCTGCTCAAAGATAAGCCGAAAAGTCAAATTTTTAAAACGGCTGGGTGTAAAAAAATTTGAAAATTTGATTACTAGCGTTTCCTCCCCAATTCATTTATTTCATTCCGATTGTTGTTGTTGTTGACGTTTTCATTTTATTGTCGTTTTTTGTTCAGAATCGTTAGATATACGTGTCGTCCTAAAGATTCTTGATATCTTTACGTCAAACGAACATTGTTGCGAGATTTGAATGCGAGATTTGAGGCAACTTGCGAAAATCTTTTGTCTGCTTTGTTTTATTCCGTTTATCTTTTTTTTCACACCAAAAAAAAACAAGACGTTAAAATTTAAGAATCATGTTTTTTTTTTCAGAGAATATCCAACATCACTCGTCCGTTGTTTAATTATTCTTAAGTTTTGTATGGACTCCAAATGAAGTTAAGCGGAACTTGGAACTCTTTTCGAATAAATGCCTCTAGGCTCGAAATCCTTTTTTAGCATTTCTCTGTTGAAACAATTTCCGTCATTGGAACAAAGTCTTTTCTTGTAGTTTGTTTGTGGAAAAGCTGACTTCATTTTCTAAATGCATCTTGCCACGTTTTTCCCAATCATGCAAATCCGCAACAAAAGCAATTAAAATCTACGTGACCTAGTCTGCTATTTTCGAAGAGGTAGCTGACTCGTTCCACGTCATTTTCAAAACAGATCATCCCAATAAGGCAAGGATTGAAGAAATTAAATTCGATTTGTATTCTAAGAATAAAACGTGATTTTTTATTTTACAATTCGAATATTTTTTGAAAAGACTTTTTTATAAACTAGTTTGAAATTTTTTAATGGTAATATGTTTTTTTTATAAATTGTAGTCAGTTTCAGTCTCGTTGATTTATAGTGCTAAGAATTGTAGCATGAAATCATAATATTCCGATATTTTTAGGTACTAAATACATACAATATTATGTATGAATCCAACATGTTTTAGGATTCATGACATCGTCATATCGAGACGTTTCCATTTTCAATTATATATACTCCAAAGCTGAGTCGTTTAATTCATACTTCTCCCATCTCATTCAAAAAAATTGCATAGTTAATACTCGTTACACGTCCTTTAATTATTCTCCCATAAATGAATATTATATAATTAATTCAGGAGCACTCTATTAAGCGAGATTAAACCTTTAATAACTTTGCATTTTTTTTCAAATATTGCATTGTTTTATAACATTAATTTTAGTGAATGTACAGGGTGTCATTTAAGTTCCCGCACAACTTTGTAGACGTACATTTCTGAAACTAAAAGTCCAAATCAAACGAGACTCGAAATATTTTTTATCTATAGTATAACAAATATTTATCTATTAACTCTTTTTGATTCGGCCTCTTTTCGCAGCTATGACTTCACGGAGACGCTTCGGGTAGGATGTGACTGTGGTACGCAGGTATTCGATGGAAAGATTGTCCCATTCCGCCAGTAATGTCTTCTTCAGAGCCTCTACACTTGAGTTGGGTTTTGCGTTGACCTTCTCCTGCAAGACCCCATCACGGAAAAGTCAAGCGGGTTCAGGTCTGGGGAGCAATCAGGCCATTCGGATGACTTGATAAAGTCGGGAAAATGGGTCTGGCACCACTCCTGAGTAGTTTTGGCAGTGTATGCGGGTGCTCCGTCCTGTTGAAAGACCATTTCTGCCCACCCGAAATGCGTTTGGGTCCAGGGCATCACATGCTTCTCCAAAATGTCCCGAACGTAGACTTCTTTGTTCATTTTCACCATCTGATCCACGAAAACCAGGTAGCACTTCCCGGTTGAGCAGATGGCACCGAAAGCCATCACACTGGCAGGATGTGAGGCTGGATGATATGTTCTTCCTTTCTCAGAAGCTTGCTGGGATGTTTGGCCAAGTACTCAATGGTTTTGTGAGTTGAATGCCGCCTCCACACTGAACAGCTTCTCGTCGGAGAAGACAGTGACGAGGTGTTCTCCAGACCGCGTGCGAGCAAGAAGTCGTTTTGCTTTTTCGAAGCGTCTCTGCTTGTTGACGGCCGATAGAATTGCCGCTTTTTGGACACGATATGGGGTCAGTACAAGCTTTGTTTTGACGATTTGTTCCATAGCAAAGATGCTCATTCCCATGTCTGACGCCATCTTTCTCATGCTCCTGTGTGGGTTTCGCCTGATCCTCGATTTAACGGCGTTGATCTTCTGAGGAGTGGTTACTGAGACGAGTCTTCCTTGTCTGGGACGGACACTGGTCGTATTTAGCTACTTGAATCGTTTGATGGTGTCGCAAACCGTTCTACGAAGCACACCGACCCGTTGAATGATGTCTCTCGGGCTCACATTTTGCTTATGAAGTTCGATAATGGAAGCGCGATGGATGTTAGCCTTCGCCATTTCTCGGAAACACATCCGAATGAGGTGAAACTTGGGAAATAAGTAAAATACACCTTATTTAACAAAAATAAATTGTATTGGTGCACAAAAAGTGCGACAGTCAATCTCTTCATGGCGTCAAACTTTTGTGCGGGAACTTAAATGACACCCTGTAATGATGAATTGAGCTAAATAGAATTCTTTAATAATCCTCTAATTTAATATCTGATTGAAAATTTTGAATTTCAATCTTGGCGAACAAGGATATTAGAAAAAAGGGTATTGACTTGCTTGGTTTGCAATTTCAAATCTCTCAAATTTCAGTCATCCCCGTTATGTTATGAACGGCTACATTTTTTTCTTGCTGCGGCACGCTTACGTGTGAATTCCACGTCAAAAAAAGCATTGACAAACTTGAGATTTGCAAAAAAGCCGTGTTTCATTCATTATTTATTGGTCGCTTACTTGTCGAACTTTAACAGTATCATGTATCATAACTTCTACGTCGTTGTCTGTTCTTGAAAAATTTATGATGAGCAAAAACTTGGAAGAGTGTGTGGCTCAAAAATGTTAGGGAAAACCGACCAAACAAGGAAATTCTTTTCCAGATTTTTTTTCAATTGCAACAGAATAATTCATATATATTTTGCATTTTTTTCAAGGAACAAAATAAATGTTGAGAATTATTCGATTACTATCAAAAACAATAAAATATGAACCTTGTTTTCTGCGATGGAGGTTTCGGGAAGAATAATGTTTCATTGGAGCCGAATTAATTCAGAAACGCATATCCGGTATTCGGCTTTAAGAATAATAACAATAAACAAGACATTCCAGTTCCAAAAACACATTTGAAAACTTTTTGTCCTAATGTTTAGATGTTATGTATTCGGCAATTCAAAAGGCTTGAACTAATGGACTGCTTTTTAGTGTAGGCGTGAACTTTGAACAAAAC